AGAGGGACTATAAATTTCAAACTCTCTGGGTTAGAATAATTTAAGTGCACCAAGTTCTTAACCTTAAAGGATCAATACTGAGGTTTTTTTTTTTTTCTTGTAGTGCTGTAAAATTCAAGCTAAGAAAAAAACTTAACAGAAAAAAAAAAAAACCAAAACAAAACAACAACAACCAAAACCAGTAATTCCGCCCCCCCAACCCAAAACCAAAGTAAATAAAGATTGTATGCGAGCAGGGGACTGATCCTGAACTATGTTTCTGGAGTTTCAAATTATATTGTCGGAAGGATGTCTGTTTTGGCTGTTCATGAGAACAACCATCTTAGGAAGGTTTTCTTTACAAAAAAATATCAAGACCCATGACCGAGTACTCATCCTTGCAAAATGGATGTAGTTCTCTTTCTGCATCTAATTTCTTTGTTTAAGCCCAGAAGGGACTCTGCCTTTTCAGCGCTGATTTTTGGAGTGGATTAGGGCTGGCAGATATGATATGTCCCCATGGGTGATGAGGCTGTGGCTGTACAGACCACTTTTCCACATTTCACTCTGCCGCAGTTACGTCTTCTGACGAGTTTGCTGAATGTTCAATCTAATATCAAGCACATATATGCAAGTTTTATATCTTATATCCTCTTGTATGGCATTTGCACTAAAGAAGGCACTGACTAACCTGTTTTCTTCTCAGAATATTAATGAATTGCCTCAGTGAAATCTCTAGCAGTATATTCAGGCATCCATATTTGTCTTGGGAAAAAACCCAATACTTTCAAATGTGGCTCACAAACCTTTACCAAAAAACACATAAAGGATCTCAATGCAGTATAAAATCTCAGATGTTGTTTATCCAGCAGGCGTGTAAAGTAAATGCATCTTAAAAGAAAGATTTAAATACCATATCCTGTTTACTGTTTCAGCCAGAACTTGGGGTTAGGATTTTCCATATTTTTCCTGGTGACATCACAGGCACCTAAACCAGCTTTTAAAATCTTATTTTAGCAGAATATGTGGGATCATCAATTTAATATGGGAAATATAGGACCCCGAGGTCAATATCTGACGAGTCAGTGCAGGAGAAGCTGCTTTATAAAATACAAATTAATGTTTAACCTCTAACCCTACACACAGTCTCCAATAATAATTTTCAGTCTGAAACAGTTCTGTCCCATGGCACTCCCACAGTCTCCAAAAATCTCACTCATCTTTTATACTCATTGAAGGCAAAGGTTCTTCATCGAAGATATTACTTGACACAACGATGTCAGCTGTGCTGTGGCTGAAAGCTGTGCCACAGGCAGAGCACAGCGTGTGCTTGTGGGAGGTGCCCAAAGCTGCCCCTGGGGGAGGATGCTGCTGAGCTGCCCTTTCCCAGGGGAAAAAATGACAGGGAATGGAAAGTGCAAGACAGGCTACATTTATGCCAGTATTTACACACTTCAAGGTGCTGGAATTCGTTCATATCTACCATTGAATGGTTGGTGTGGTCCTTGGCCCAGGTCTGACTCAGGCCAGCTAACTTTCTGCAGTCGGTTCCCAGGCATGGTTTGGAAGTTAACTCAACTTGGGAACCACTCCCACTATGCGTTTTCCACGTGGCCAACGTTTCTGCAGACCAGGAGGAATAGTACAGACACCGGTGGCTCTGTGCCAGCTGTCCTCAGTGCCATTGTCACGGGTGTTTTATTGATGCATGCGTGGCTACTCCCTCTCTGAGATGGATGCTCCTGTTTAGCATGGCTGCTCCAACCCAAATGGGTCCTTGCTTGGTTTCACACCTGGCACCACTGAGAAATCCTTGATTGAGCAATCTTCTCAGTGGAAGTTCACCTGACATGAGAGAGACTACTGCCAGGCCAGCACAGTGGACTGAACTTGTACTGTGGTGTTAAGTCACCCTCTTTACTTGGTCCTCACAACCTGCCCCACAATATAAATGGGGGACCTAAACAAACAAGCAAAGCAGAGGTGCAGGGTGTGTTTTGGGTCTCCAGGAGCAGCCCTGTAGAGAAAATTAATCTAAATTAATCTTCTGGATGCCCTCATTTGATCTGAGATTACATAAATGAAGCTCGTTTTGGCATCTTACCTAGAAACTCCATTTGTAGATGCCAAGAACTACTCACAAGAAATAAAGGATACCCTGTGTGATAGTGACAAGGCTTTCTATAAAGTATTAACTTTACAAACTAGATCCATAACACAAAACCGACCAGTATGCGCTCTGCTGGACATTTTACATAGTCTGCAGATCTACCTGCCTGTCTGCTGCTTCTTCTGGCAGCACTCGGTGCTGAACCCAGGGAAGGTGGAAGGTGTGCACCACCCCCCTTGCATGCTGGGCAGCAGCTGCAGGTGGGCAGTAATGATAGCTGGTGATTGTGCTTCCACTGCTGCCTGTCCCTGCAGGGTCAGTGCCCCCAGATCCACCATCTTGGTCAGGCACCTGCTTTTTCAATGACAATCCTAGCTTTGCCAGGCCTTAGGAGGCATAATGGAATCCAATCTAATCTCTGTAGAAGTCTGGGAACAAACTGTGCTGACACCTCTATCTTGTAAGGACTTGGAATACAGGGTAGAAGTGACAGGGTTCCTCCTGATAGGAACATTTAAATTGGGACAATTCAGTCAGTTCTGAAAAGGGACAAAAGAAACCAGTGTATTAGATTTAGTTATTATCTAGTAATCCTATTCTGTATATTTTCTTTCATTTTTTTTCTGGCAAAGTTTATAACTCCCAGAATCATCTCTGGGCAATGAGATAAACTATTAATTCACACTCAGAAATGCCCCGTTGACCTATGAGTTGACTTTCTGGGGGAGCCAAAACATAGCAGAGGTAGAGCAGAATTCGTGTTCATGGTGCTTCTAGTCATGTCAGCTTCAGGTGAGATTGGTCTTATCTGTCATCAGCCAGGTGAAACCAACAGGGACCACTTACCAGCAGTGAGATCCACAGTTGGCTCCCCAGTGTGCACGCAGCCACTGCCTCTGTATTTTAGTCACAAAAAATACCCCAAATGCATTCTATCTGAGCATGTTTAAGCCTGCCACAGTCTTTCTGATAGCTGACTGACAGCATAGCAGGGCAAAAGTTTGTAAAACTTCAGCCTGCTCTTATGCAAGAGCATGGCAGAAACCGATGCAGAGATCCATAACATAATTTGTCCTTCCATAACTTTCAAGATAAGAAGGGGAATGTGGTATTGATTTACCTAGTAAGAGTGACACCCCCCAATATGTTGAATCCATCCCTTCTTGTCATTCAGTGCTGCTCTGCGTTTTTGGACGAGATTGCTTGTATGTGTGAAGTTATTAGGCAGAAACACATTGTCCAACCTGACTATCAGAGCCAGTTTCAGAGAGGACAGGTATCATACTGATTCAAAGAGCGTGTGAAAGACCAAATAGCACTTAACAGTAAGCTGTAAATCAGGCTGCAAGAAAGTATAAAGACACCTGAATCTAAAGAGACATATTTCTATTCCTGGACATAAATCCCATGAGATGGTTTAATTAATAATTCATTCAAGCAGCTTCTATGCTACACATTTTTTTATCCAACAGACCTAAGAAGTGATATGCTTATGAGCTTATAGTATGGAGAAAACCTTACAGAAGAAAAAGCTCAGGAACACTATCCACAGCTAATCACATAGGGAAGGGAAAGAAAGTGGTCATGGGCTCTTGCTTGATAAATGTCACAGTTTTCAGGTGTAGCTAGTAAATAATTAAGGCTGATAACAGTCAGCTGGTTAGTGGTTCCTTGCAGGGCCTGAGGACTTCTAGTAATGAAGGCCTGAGCAGAATGGAATGGATAACTGTCCTTTGTTGACATTAAAAAGGGTGAGAGTTGGGACTGATGCTAAATTAGGCTGTCTGTATGGTAAGGTTGCTCAGTGTTCTACTCATCCTTCCTCTCTCTTTCTCCTGTCTGTCTCCATCAAACTGTTTAACAGAGAGGTAGTAAGGAGCAATGCCTGTCTGTGAGCTCACAGTTTTTTTTCCTTGTATTTGGCATTGTAGGTGAGGCTGGGTACTTTACTGCAGTGTCTTAGTTCAAAGAGTGGATATGTGAGAGAGCAACAGAGAAAATCACTGAGGTATGGAAGTACTCTGAAAAGTAAGTCTTGAACTTTGTGCACCAGTGTCAATCCTCTTTGTGCCTTACCTGCCCAGAAGGTTTGCCTCTTGCTTGGCAGGCCGTTGGGAGCACAGCCTTAGGGCCAGGTCCTCCTTTTGTGGAGCTCCACAGCAGCAGAGTCCCACTGCAGGACAGGCCTTTTTCGTCAACAGAGGGATTTCCCTGATGTTTTACAATTAAACATAGTCTTGGTAAGAAACTTAAGGTGGGACTTGTTTAGGTACTCCCCATCTTTCTTTACCTCTTGTAGCTACCATCTCCTGTCATCATAGTGATCTTAACCATGCAAAGCAAGTCCTTGTGGCACTTCTGATATTGAAGAAATAGTGATCTTTCTTGGTAAATGTCCTTATTAAAAAAGAAATCGCTTTAGTCTCTCTCATTCATGCTGGGTAGACTCCCTGCTTCAAATGAATTTTCAGCTAGGGAGGTAATGACATAAGTAATTAATTACAGACTGTGGTCATTATAACTACAGTGAGAAAAACCAAAATCGTTTTCTTTGTAGAAGAGATTTTCTAGGATAGTTAACAACAGTGCTACTTGCAGAGGCCTTGCTTACATGAATGTCTCTCTAGTGAGAAGGAAAAGAGAAAGGGATGGAGAGGAAATATTATTGTGGGTGAGGTTATTCCTAGACTGAATGTTTTTCACACTTGTTGGGAGGCCCAAGGATCTTAGATGAGCAACAGTTTAAATGTTCTTGCACACAACTTACTCTAATAGCAAGTTTCCTTTGCAGTGGCAGATAATGTGAGCTTCAGAACAAGATGCAGAGTTCTTTTATGTTACCTCTGCTGTGTGATCTAGCATAGCAGAATGAGCAAAGCAAACAATTAATGACAGAATCAAAAACATGGAAGCAGTTTTTCTGTAACAATATATATCTTTTAGTGCAACACTCCGATCTCACAGAAGTAATGCACCATTATGCCCCTGAGGCCACTCCTCTGATTCCACCTTTTATGGACTAGCTCTTTATTCCTAAATTCAGCAGAGGCATGGCTTATAGCTGGTCCCAGCATGGAATGCATCACAAGCAGCTTGTCTATTACAAGTGACCTGCAAAAGAGAAGAAATAGTGTTTGTATCCTCTGTAGCATTTTTAAGGCTGAAAAAGAAGACTTGGAAGTTTTCTTTTTTCAGGATCCTGCATATTGCTCAATATTAAGCATCTGGAATACAAAAAAAAAAAAACCTGAAGACCCATCATTCATTTATTATTTTGTTGGAGGGGTGGAAACAGAGAAGGAATAGTGGAAAGCCTTGGGAAGGTCTCTGCTTGAACAGTAAGATAACTAGAAATTATCTACAACTGTTCTCTGTGATTTTGGCTGAATAATCCTTCTCACATGGAATTTAAAAGACTTTACTAACAGTATGATTTTTAAAATAATCTGTTTAAATCGCTGTGGAAAGTTTTATAGTTTTCTTTTTTCCAAATTTCTCTTAAAACAACACTTAGTCTTTTTCTTTTTAGTAAGAGATTATTCTATTGCTTATTATTCTAGCATAGTAGACACTAAGTAACCACAGAAGCCTTCTTATGTTCTTAAAAGTGGTCTATTGTACATCTGCCCCTCCAGACTGCAGTCTTTTCTATCTAGGGATTATTTCTGGGGTGCAGCGGTGGACTGTGTGCCAGGTTTAAATTGGAGTAATAGAAGTGATGCACAGCCTATAATTCCAGCTAACATCTCTCCACGTTCCTGAGATAATGCCAGACAAACCTTTGTGTCTGTCTGTTCAACTATAGATATATATATATATATATATATATGTACATATATACATGCATATGCATCAAGTCACTGCAGAAATGTTTTGGAGTACATGGTCCACATGATAGCTAGAAACACGAGCATTCTAGATCAATGGAAAGTAAAGACCCCAGCTGCCACTGCACAAGAGCTGTCTTGACTGACAAGCTGTCTTGTGCTTGTCTCCCTGGAAATGAAGAAAAGTTAGTTCCTGGTCACTTTCGGGTTGTGCTTCCGATTGTGACTTGGCTGTGTCTCCTGTATGCGAGGTCATATTGCTTTTTGGCAGGTAATACTGGACTGGCCACTGCCAGAACCATAATAAACTCCAAGACGACCTAAGCAGCATTACTTCAGGATCTTTCCACTTCCAATATTTTTCATGTTGTTCCAATCCCAGAATTCTGCAGCTTAGTCATAACAATATAGGTTACTTTAATTGCTTTCTTCAAATTTTCTTCATCACACCCTTGTCCATTTCATTCCCAAAGCATATTTACAGTTCATCTTTCTCAGTGTTTTTGGACAAGTATTTCAAACAAACATTTTGGAGCTGCTCAAAGCAGACACAGATCTGTGAGGGGGTTCCTGAATGAAAGAGGATCCATATATGCATATGCCCTAGTTAAACACCACCTGCACACTGTGTCATGTCTCAGTTGTGGCATCACAGGGGGACTCTGATTTCCACTGTAGACTGACTATTCTGTAACAAGACACCAAAGCATATGGCACAAAGCAGAGCTAATATTTTCTTTGTCTCTTGTTTTCCTTCTGCTGGCTCCAGCAGCCTTCTCTGGCCTACCCACAAAAGCCAGCTTTGTATGTGAAGACACAGCAGTCCAGTGGTTTGCCTCTATAATTCCTACATGGACCTAAAAAAAAAAAAAGCAGAAACCATGGGGAGCTGTGAATTAAGGAAGACATTATACTGTGGTATATTTACTGAATGAACATGCTCACCCTAAAAAAAGCATATTCAGGTTTGATAGAGGACAGGCATAATAGAGAACTGGTAGTTTTGATTCCTTCACAGGAAAGTCTGGGGCTGTGTTCTGCGGTTAAGAAGTACTGATAATATAACGAATATTTAAAGAATGGACTTGTACTTTTTGAAGCTAAGTTTCTTAACTCCCATTTCCTTGTGGAGAAGTCCAACCATTCTAAAAAGCTCTGTATTACCAGATCTCCCAACTTGCTCTGTGCGCTACCTATGTCAAAGAGAGTTTGAAATTATTTCTTTATTAATGTTTTTTTTTTTTGCCGAATGTGTACTACAATTTACAAACCAATACTGTTTGAAGAAAGATAACACGGTGAGGAAGAGAGAAAGCAATGGAAGGATTGGTCCCAAGTTATGGAAGAGTTTGATCTTGGTTACCTGAAACCATATGGGCATCCAAACACAACAGGACTGCAGCAGGAAAAGGGAGGGAGAGCTCATTTCTTCCCTGGAATGGAATGACATGTCTTAAACTAACACTTGGCCAAGAAGCTTTATTATTGTTGGTGTGATTTCAGAGTTATAAGGAAAAATCTCTGAGTGCTGATGGAGAGGACTTGCACTCTTGCTTCATGGTACTTAGAATTTTAAAATAATCCCTTGAAAGAAGAGCACAATTGGAATCATAGTTGAATGTGTTGATTCTTCTCCCTGCAGAGTCTACAGAGAGCCTTACTAAAATGGAGAAAATCGTCTGTGTGGCCTTGAAACCTTATATAATGTTTCTGTGTTGGGCCAATAAAAAATATCCTAACCGTTATTTTGTCTGAGCTCAAATCTTGAAGGAAACGTTGGACTGAGTAGGAAAAAAGTTCTACGGTTACAGCCCTTATAATTCTCAGAGCTTTCCCCCAAATACCCCCTACTTCCAAGCCCTGTCTCCAAACACTCAAACTGTGGAAGTGATAACCTGCAGACTTGGCAGTGTACATGACATTTTACTAAGGGAGCTTACACAAATATTATCTCAAGTGAAATGAGGGTTTAATTCTATTATCTGTGGCTTTTCTTTCCCTGGGGTCAAAAGTACAGAAAGTGGTCATGTTGTCTTTATAGCCCAAGAAACAAAAGACCTGTTTTTAAACCAAATAATTACTCATCCAGAACTAATGTCCCACAGCACTAACCACTAAGGGGGCTTTAGAGTGATCTGAACCAGTTTGCAGTTCTCCAGACACGTTATTTCAGAAATGCTGGTAAGAATGCGTTGCAGGGGATTCTCTTGAGATGGCTGACATTAGTCAGGGAAACAAGGAGCAGGGACTCTGCAGGTACTGTGAAGAGACCGTACAATAGCCGATTTCTTTAAGAGTGCTGTTCCTTGTGTTACACTGAAAAAAATCCATTCCCTGTTGCTTTGTCTTTATGTTGTGCAGGTTGCAGGTATGTGGCTGTACATGGCACACCCTTGTGACAGCTAGCAGTCCACTGAAGAGAACAGAGGGCAGATATAGGGTGATGCTGGTAGAGCTCAAATGTGAATACTGTGTGGTCTAGCATCCTACAAGGCATCTCAAATTCTGCAACTACGATCAGAGCTGTTTTCAGGAAGAAAGCTTCCACCCCAGTACTGAGAACCAGGATCGACATTGATCTGCTCTTGGACTTTGACTAGTCACTTGCTTTTAGCAGTTCTTGTGCAAAATAAAAGGAGTACAGACTCAGTTCTCTGCCTTTGAAACCGTTCGTGATTCAGATTTGGGAATTCTGAAATTTGAAAAAGACTTTTGCTGAGGATGTGGGCTCCAAGGAGCTCACAGTCTAGACAAAAAATGCATGAAAGCGCTGGAGCACTGTATTTGCTATACACTGTTTGGTCCACTGCTGTAGTGTTACTTGTCTCTAGGTAATGAGTACCGTAAGGAAGAATGACACAAGCTCTCTCTGACCGGGATTTTGACAACTGATCAGGTCAGGGGTGGTACAAAAGAGCTTTTGGAACTGGAACGACTTGAAGGAAAGAAATGGGAAAGATGCCTGCATCTGTAATGCACACATCCATCAGCTTTGCCTTTGCTGTCAGGTGACACTACAGAACAGAGCTCTGCAAGCCTTACTCCTGAACAGAATGGAAACCCTAGAAGGGTCACAGTAGTCATGGCATTGGCTCAGGGACTTACACAGTTAGTAACTTGCTACAATTCGTGTCACAAGCCAACTTTTGTAACTAGTCATTAATTTACAAGCAGTACCCACTGTGCTGGTTATTATTGCTTAGAAGAATGACTCAAATCTAGCCAAAGCTTTCATACTGCTTCCATCTCAGATATGCGTTGTAAGGCTGAGCTGGATCTTCTTGTTCTCTGCAGGTTCTCAAAGAGGAGGTGGTTAGTTACTTTCAAATTGCTTACTGTTTTCTCCAAGAAATCCCAATTTTCTCCTAGCATTTGCTATGACTGCATGTGATTGGCCAACATATTTTACAGCTACTTTATTGTGCTGGGTTTGGCTGGGATAGAGTTACTTTTCTTCATAGCAGCTGGTATGGTGCTGTGTTTTGGATTTGTGATGAAAACAGGCTTGATAACACACTGATGGTTCAGTTATTGCTGAGCAGTGCTTGCACAGCATCAAGGCCTGTTGTGTTTCTTACACCGACCCATCCGCGAGTGGACTGGGGGTTGCGCAAGAAGTTGGGGGGGACACAGCTGGGACAGCTGACCCCAACTGACCAAGGGATATCCCAGACTTTTTGGCGTCATGCTCAGAAATAAAAGCTGGGGGAAGAAGTAGGAAGGGGGAGACATTCAGGGTTATGGTGTTTGCCTTTCCAAGGAACCAGCATGCATGATGGAGCCCTGCTTTCCTAGAAATGGATGAATACCTGCCTGCCGATGGGAAGCAGTGAATGAATTCCTTATTTTGCTTTGCTTGTGCATGCAGCTTTTGCTTTATCTATTAAACTGTCTTTATCTCAACCCATGAGTTCTCACACTTTCACCCTCCCAATTCTCTTCTCTTCCCCATCCCACTGTGGGGGAGTGAGTGGCTGTGTGTAGCTTAGCTGCCTACCAGGGTTAACCCACAACATTTATATGACGCAGCAGCTGAGACTTTCAACTCACCTCGTATCATTTGTCAGGTAAAAGCTGCAGTCCTCTCTCAGGATTCAGGAGATACTTTCCACTTTCTTCTACTCCCAAAGTCATGTCAGACCTCTCTTTCAGATTGTTTTTTTGTCAACACTGCATGGAGAGCTCTGAATGAATGAAAAATGGTTGTTTTAATGAAGAAGAAACTGAGAAATGAGTTTTGTTTATAGCATGTGCTAGAATAATAAGATCCAATGATACTGTTATGGTAGTTACAAGTGAAATAGTCCTTCACCCTAAAAGATACTATGCAGACTCTGTTTGTTCAGATGGCACACTGTCCTTTTGGTCTAAAGCTATTACTTAAATTTTCCACATAACAACTTCCCAAAGATGCCTTTGAAAATTTCTAAAGACAACATGTACTTAATACTTTAATATAAGCAGGTTTGATTCAATACAGATTGTTCAGAAGCACCAAATATCTGTGGATGTATCTTAGGTTGTATCTAAATCTGTACTTCCGTGCATAGTTTTGTGTCTGAAAGCAATCCCAAGCCACATGGTCTGTGAAACAGCACAGCGAGCTTAGTAGAAATACGAACCATGTGAACTGTGATGCCACTAAACCACAGATCTTCCTTTTGTCTGTTTTGATAGCCCTTGATCCTCCAAGGACGTGGAAGTGTTTTTCAGTCCAGTAACTGAAAAATTAGGCCAGTTTGGATTCTGGAAAGAAAAACATTCTGTTTAAATCCATCCCTCCATACTTTTGTTTTCAGACACTGTCTGTCAGTCTAGCCTTTGAAATTAGCACAAATACCCATGAGAAATATAATCCTGCTCAAGGCTCTGAATCAAATACATTGCAGCCGATAAATAGTTGCCCTTTGACTTCCAAATGATGTTTAATCTCTGAAGCAGGTACAGTAACCTTGGATAATCTGCTCATCGGTTTTCTAGGTTAAATAAATGGATATATTAGTTTCCTCTAGATTTCATTGTTCTATAATAGCAATGGGAACATAAGATCAGCACCCGAAAAATGAAGCAAGAACTGTCTGCTATGCTTTGTGGAGTCTATTAATAAGCCTCAGAAAAAAGGATCTTTATCACCCATAAAATGAATCTATGCTGCCCAGTGAGGCAGTAGGCGTTTCTGGGGTGAGGAAACTCTACTATAGGTATGTAATGTTTGCCTTGATCAGATGTAACTGGCTAGCAGAGTTATTGACTGTTAGACTGAAGTAACGTGCTTAGCCTAGGGCCACAGGAGACACTGAGGCTAGTACCTTTACTCTGCTTGGTGTGGAAATGGTATTACTGAGTCTCTCTTTTCAGGATTTGGCCGTTCATTGTCTGTATCCCAATATCCCTGACTTTGCACAGTAACTTGTTGGAGACTAATTTACTTTGAATAAAGCACAGAAAAAGAACGTGATCACTTCAGATGTTTAAAGAAGCAATATAAAGATCAGTTAAAAGAAACTTTTGCATAACATTGGGCGTGCTCAGTAAAAACTTCTTAGGAAATCAAAGTAATGTGAATATATTTAGATGAAAATACTTTTAAAATTCAGATTCAGCTCAGAATTAAATGAGTGATTGACAGAACCCATTGTACGGTCTATAGAACTCATGCAGCTCATGATTTTAACTCTTGTAAGATTCTTAATTTTTTTCAAGGCAAATCAAGAAACAAAAATGAAGCTCATCTAGTACAAAGTGTTCCCAGTGAACCCTAAAGACACAGCAGCCCCAAACTCTGTGACCCTCTGTCTTCATGAGGTGGTGTCCTACTGAATTTTCTTTTGGTAGGACACTGTTACACATTGTTTGAATGCAAGTGACAATAGTCAGCTTGGCTTCCTTGTCATATAAATCATCAGAACAATTGGGGCATGTATAATTACCTGCCTCAAATCCATACTTATGTAGGACAGACAATCAATGGGGAAACTGTGTAAAATTCATTGTCTAATGCAGTTTACAGATTGGAGAGATGATTTATGGAATTATAAAGGTCTGACATTCGTTGACCACTGAATTACCCTTTAAATAATTCAATACTTTGGAGATTATTTGCTGACCTGCTGTGACCTAACTTGAGTCGACTATTGCAGCAGTGAAGAGCATTGCCTGCTGCTGCAGTGCAGGCAGGTCATATGCAGATTTTACACCCTGTTGGTAGTAAAAACAATTCATTAAGTCCAAACTGGTATTGCAATATAAAGCTATAAAAAAGCATTAAAGTGAAAGTCATATCAGGTCAAGAGTCCCCAAATCCTCTTACAAAAAGAGAGCAAGCTGCCCACACCTTTACTATATTGAGGCTGAAATCAGATTAGGTCTCTGCTTGCCAAATATAACAGGCAAAGCCAGGCATTTTTCAAAAGGTAGTAGAGGTACACTGTATTTCTATCAATCAGAGCAAGCAGTAATCATCTTAACCTGGCTGTTAAGGAAGTTTTGTGAGAAAGCACGTCATGATAAATAAATGAGGTTGGTAGAGGGACTGCTTTTCAGACAGCCACTGAAATTGTTAGAAAATTAACAAACATTTAGAAGGATTTGTGCAGGAGTTATGGATCCCAATAAAAGCTGTCCACACCTCACACACAACAGGGAGAAGTTAACTGGAGAGTAATGTCTATGAAAAGATGACACACTAAAGCAGGTCTAGGCGTACGGTTGGCAAAAGGGTATGTGGAAGAAGCATTTTGGTACAGGAATCCACCACAGCTATACTAGTGACATTTATGCGTGTTCAAAGTGTGTCTAGAGCTAGACTTGCCCAGTTAGCATAAAGAGAAGAGGTACTTCTTTTTAAAGTTTTGATGAGTACTTGTGAGAAACTACTAAGAAACCACATTCCTTCCCAAGTTCTACACTGTGAGCCAAAGCCTTTCACACAAAAACTTAAAGGTCCCATTTTTCTCATGTGATTTTACTGATCCAACTGTTAACGTAGTTGTATGAGTTTCCTTGTAGTTCCCAAAGAGAAGCACTTCAAAGTGGGACAAACTGTCCTGTAAAGGTGTGTACAGTAAGCTGGCAAAGCTGCATGGAGTGAATTGTGGTGCCTCACCACTTCCATATAAAATGGAATAATCTTCAAATTTGCTATGAGCATGCTGTGAAACAGTGGTTCATCCAAAGCTGAAGGCAAGACTGCATAGAATAAATTCCTTCCAAGATAAGTTAGAAGAACCTGCTCTTTAGACTGTCTCTCCCCGCTCCACACTTTCCCTGTGTTTGAAACAGACTCTGCTGCTAAATACCTTGATCTGCATCATACTTATTCAGCTGTAGCTTTGCAAGTCCTCCGAACACATAATCTACAGGTATTTGGATTTCACAAAAGCATGAGAAATGCTCTTCCCTGCTTCCTATCCTTGCTGTGACCTATCTGCAGGAGAGATTGCTAACACTGTGAACAGTGAGGACTAGGGAGTTCTTGATCTACGCTTCTCAGGATGTTACAAGTAAGCCCAGCCTCAAAAGCTAAAGGGCTGGAAGTGTTTGGGTCAGAGTGCTTTCTAGTCACAGGACAGATAATGACAGGCAGCTACTGCAAGAGCTTCTCAAGCTGCTGTGCCAGCCCAGCCCTGAGAGGCAGAGCTGTCTCCTGGTCTGTGACAGATGCAATCTGGTGCCAGTTGCCCAGGGAGGCAAGGCAGCGTATGGCATTAGGCTGGATTAGCTCCTGAATTTCCCTTAGCTGCTTTGTGGTGATACGCTGGAGGTGCCACTTGCTTAACACAAGTCAGGTACCGAGAATCACAGGACTTGTAACATTTCCTATGAGAAGTCACCCTACTCAATAGGTTTACCTTGAAAAAGGATGAGATGTCAGAAAGCTTGATTTCCATACTAAAGCAGTTAGGATACTTTTGGGAGTCTGAAGGCTTACTTTCAATTTAAAGTTCCTTGGGACAAGAACAGGATCTCCCTATGCATGCATACATGTAGCATTTAGCCAGAGGAGCCTGCCTGATCCTGCCTGACCTGTACAGGTACTTACCCACATGTAGTTGTGTGTGGGTGTAAATGGGCTTTGACACTTGTGAGGACTGCACCTTGCCAAAAGGAAGCTTTTAAATCAGTTTGTTCTGCTATAGCCAATGTATTGAGGAAAACGATGCAATACAAATTGCTACAGTGCCAGACCAGTTCTGATTGAAGGAACAAGAACTAGTGACCTCACAGTATTGCTTACAGACACAAAACAATAACTTCTAAACTTGTGGCTTCTACAGACCATTAATCAGCTTGGGCTGGAGTTCCACATTTTGTCCTTAGGCATTTTGTAAAGTGAAAGCTCTTTCTTTAATGCTGAGATTTGTACAATTAGTATGCAAGAATGTAAATCTGTCATAATGTAATAGGCTTACTCTGTCCATTGATACTCAGTGACTTCAAATACAGGTGCTCTGTTATGGACCACCAAAACCTGGGCTAAGGGTTAGTATTTCCCTTTCTTTCATGTCTGATGCTGTCACACAGTCTGATTTTGAAACATCTAAGTTCCCTCACTGTTCCACACTGGATTTGCACCTAGCCCAAATGTAAATATCATAGGCAGTTGCATGCAGACGTGTTTCATCCATAGTTTGAAATGCAGCTGCATTTACTATAGAATATTACAATTTTTTAAACTCAACAATTCCTCCAATCTCAGGGAAGCATGTATAAGAGGCTTCTACTAAGTTCCATCAGATTTATTATTTGATTAAAATTGTCACAGCTGTCATACATAGTTGAGATACTGGTTTTTTGAAGTACATAGCTTCTAAAAAGCATAGGATGTAATATAAACAATACCATTACAACTGAATTAAAATTAAAATATTAATTGTCAGATTTACTGAGAAATATTTTTTAAATTAAGTTTTATTTAAATAATAAATCCAATTTTTATTTTAAAAATATTGCTGTTGTCCAACTTCATGGCCTGTCTTTGATGGTGACATCGTAGTACGGATTTCAGGTCCCCTTTCCCTCTCTCCACTTGCATCTGATGAAGTGGGCATTGAGAAGCTAGGGTTGTGGGTGGCAGCGGTTACATGGAGAATATTTATTTCACAGACCGTCTTTGGCAGCATCTGTGGGGTTTTTTTTGGTTTTATTTTCAAAAAACCTGTTGCAGTCCTGTTTTGCTTGTACC